AAATTGACTTGAACAAAAACAATGTCATAATTCTTTTGACTCTTAATCATTCATAAGCTGGCGTACTCAAAATATTTGTGTATAGAAAAAAAAGAGCTGAAAATAGCGATGGTGGAAAGCGAGAGCATGGACCTTGTGTGTGGGGAAGGAACAGGAAAGAGAGGAGTTGCAAGACCTAGATCTCATCTAGCATACTTTGTTTTTGATGTATTACCAGCATCCAGCTCTATGAAAGGACTTAAGAGGAACTTGAATGACTAAGACTGAGATTACATCTTTGCCTGGACTCTTGACCTTGTATCTGTTTGGTGCATGTGCCCAGAACTACTGCTGTCATGGCAGACCTGAGTTGCATGGTTGTTCTCATGTCAAAACATATTTGAAATGCAAAGCTAGGCACCTGTATTCCTGAATTACATTAAAGGCTTGATATGATAGGTGCGCTTTAAGAATACATATCTCATTCAGAATACGGAGTTCAGTACAAAACACAACAGCAGTTACAGATTTCCATTTAACAAGGGAGATGTCCACTCTGTGTAATCTGTGTAGCGTACTAATATTAGAGTACTTTCTTGGGAAATTGTATGCCTGGAATACACTGTTCCTGCAGAAAGTTGTCCAAATCCCTCTCTTTCCAGGAGAGAGACTTGCTGAGACCCTTGAAGTCAGTAGCTGCTCTTGAAAACTTGAGATCCCACCTTTTTTGACCCTCAGTTTCCTCATTTGTCAAACTGACAATTCCTGTTCTTGTGAGGTATGTGATGTGTGTTTGGAAAGTAAATGCTCACTAATTTTAGTGAACTTGGTAATAGGTTCTGATGGATTAGACTTGCCTCCAAATAGAACAGACAAAAGGAACATCTAAGTCCTTTTCCTAACCTCCCTTAGAGCAGCACAGAAGAAACTGATTTCTGTGGGTAAGAGACTTAGCCAGTCCATTTGAACAGTTGAAAAGCATTTTCATCAGAATTAACCTGATCAGAACTGAGGAACAAAACAAATTTCCTAGATCCAATCTGCAACGTGCAAAAGCCATTCAGAATGTAACATAATGAGCACTTCGTGCATGCCTGTCAAATCATGGCAGTTTTACTGAATATAATGTTAGTAGATGTCAAAAATGACTTAATTTTCCTTCCTTCTACTGTTCTCTTTCCTGTCAGCTTTGTTTTGCTCAAAATAGAAGTGGTAAATCAGTTCTTAACTTCTCCGCTGATTCTACTCTATGGACTAAAGACAATTTAAGCACAGTAATGCTAGCCCCAGCTTTCAATTATTCAGTTGTAACTAGCTTGCAAAAATTCCTTTTAGCACATACGTCTAAATGCATACTACTTAGCTACGCTCTGCCAACCCTAGTGCCAGTATTATGGTTCTGTTCGTACAGCATGCAGACCCACAGGTCTTGTGATATTTGCATCTGATAGTCATTTAGATCAAAACCACTTCACAAGATGTGTCCATACACTAGCTACATTTCAACTGCAGTGTGGTGGGAGCAGCCTGCACATCAGGAAAAGAGTGGACATTTGGAGCACAGCAAGAAAAAATACCCGTCAGTAAAAAAGAGAGAAAGAAAAATATCAGGACCTTTTAACATCTGTACAGGTGCTTTCTGTTCCTGATATTTTAGATAGAATCCCTTTTCATAAAACAAATGGACTTCGACTCCCCCACCTTCTCCGAAAGTCAGGCAATAACAGCCTTTAAATTATCCAGATTCTTTGGCACCAGAACACATGGTTGGACTCTCAATTACTGCAAGTCAGTGCTACTTCACTGATTTCATTAAACTTTGCTGGCGTACACTGAATATGCCCCCTACTGTTAAACAGTGAAAGAAAATATCTCATCTACCCTACAGGAATTAATGTATCTGAAAGAAGATTTTCATGCTTGGAAAATACAGAGCTATTAGGGCTGTGTTATCCTTCTCTCAAAAAATTGTAGTCGTACTAGTATGGATAAGGCACTAGATCAAAGATGATGCCATTTAGCAGCACTGTAATGCATGGGAGACTTGATCACTTTTCAGTCAAACCTATAAATTTTCAGATCCGCAATTGCAGAGCAGGGTTTGGTTTGCTAACAGCTGCTAACCCCAAAATCTCTTGTGGTTAGTTGCTGCAGTATTTTCTCATGGTATATCTGTGCATGTTTGGGAGAGAAGATGAGTCAGCAGCTGAACGACTTTAAAGTGGTGATTGACTTTGTTCTCCACAACAAGGGACGTGCCCTAGGTCAAATTTCTTATTTCAGCTGGTTGAACATCTCAGTAAACTGAAGAAATCTAGCTCTAAAAAGTTTATATTCAAACAAAAGTTGGAAGAATTTTTCTCTATTCTCTGTTTGGTGGGCAGTCTCTGTGTGTCTTTTGAATACACAAGGAGCAAGAAAGTCTGCTAATTTTTTGCTCTTTGTCAAGGGTTTAGCCCTTGCCTTGTGTCCAACTTCTAAATTTCTAGTATATAACTATTTTTTCCTGTGTGTCACTGACATTCTTTGCATTCAGTAATTTACGATATGTGATATACAGTATAGATTTCTTCCAAGGATGAAATTTAGTATTTTATTTCCAATAAAATAATACTTTAGTATTTTATTTCCAATAAAATAATACCAATAAAATAATGCTTTTTGAAGACCAACCCTCTTTGTGGAAGAACACATGCAAGGAGATAAATATTTTAAAGCTATTACAAAAAAGGGCAATTACCCTGCCTAGATATCCAGTACCCTTGACAGTTTTCACCTGAGGCATGCTCCTTCACACTGAATTGGTGATTTCAGCCAAAGACATCTGGATCATAATTCTCAGCTGGAGAGCTGAAGTGCTTCTGTTGAGAATGACTCCAGTAAATAGGAACAGGAGAGCAAGAGTGATAAGACCTTTGAGTTGTTAGATCACTGATTGGATCTGGAGCAACTATTATTGGTCCAGTTGTGCATGCCATGACCGTATTCCTATTAGGAGGCCAGCTGGGCTCTTGAAAATGTTGCAGGATACTTACAGTTTGCTCCTGTCCAGACCTGGAACAGACCTTGATGAGGATATCCAGGTTAACCTGGTATCAAAAGCTGATAAGATTTGGCCGATGCTGCTAAACAGAGTAATTAATACATATAATATTAGTCAGCATTCAGCTGATCCAAAAATAGTTAAATACTGAAATATAAAATTCTGTGCCTGTCATTTCTCAACTATCCTCCACAGCACGGGATCAGCCAGGCCAGAAGATCAATTTCTAAGTCTGGGAAACTTGCAGCAGTTCTGTTAGTAAGGATTGACATGTCAGCAGTGAATGTGCTAGTGGGGAATGGGTGGGAGGAAAAAGAGAGCTGTAATTAGAAAGAGATCAATGAAACATGGTCTGGTCCAACCACAGTTGTGTCTTGTTTTGATCCTAAGCTATCCCTTTGTAAGTGAGGATGCTAATACTCTTCTCCCACGGTAAGGCAGTGTGGTTTGCTGCTGGATGTGATGAAGTGCTTGGATGTCTGAGAGATGAAGACCACAACAGAACTTAGGTCGTTCCTTGCCTATGAAGCTGCCTCTTGTCAGCCAGGCCCCTGCGGTAACAGCTGCATTGCCAGAGCCCCCAAACGTAGACAGTCTATGCAGATGGCAGGAACTGCTGCTGGAGCTACACAGCATCCTCAGACAGCTAAGCTAAGCTGTGAAAGCTGTCTGCAGTCACAGCAGTTGCATCTCT